CGGCCAGGGTATCGCCGGCTCCAGCTTCAACTCGGACGACCATGACTTCCCGGCTGTGCCGTACACGGTCGACGACTTCAACCCGCGCTCCAAGTGCCCTTCCACGGACGGTGAGTGAGGTGTCGTATGTAAGCATCGGTTAGAACTGTAGTGGTGAGTGTCGGTGAGCATTGGTGAGCATTGGTGAGTAGCCATTGGTGGTGAGTTACTAGAGACGGTCGCTGCCGGGTGTGAGCATGTGAGTATTGATGAGGGTCGTCGGATGTCAGAATTGTTGTACATCGGTGAAGCAGTACTTGTACTTTTCAATAGCTTGTTTGCATGCGTGTGTGGTCGCCGCTACACCGTGGGAAACAGAAGAGATGCCAGTCATTTCACACAAAAGAGGATGATGTTCGTACTGTAAAGTGAAAAGGTCAATAGCGCGAATGACCCAACATCTAAATACAACAAATGAGCATAAAACCTACGCAATACAGCGTGTCCTTCAACCTATACACGAGTACCAACCACTTCACTAACAGCCGCGAGTTCTGACCTACTCACCTCCCTCCAGGCAATGTCAACAACTACTCCGATATGGATAACGTCAAGAACTGCACGCTGGTGGGCCTGACGGACCTGGACCAGAGCCTGCCGCACACCCAGGAGCGCATTGTCGACTACCTCAACCGTCTGGTGGACATGGGAGTCAGCGGCTTCCGCTTCGACGCCTCCAAGCACATGTGGCCCGACGTGAGTGATGGTGGTGCCGGTTTCTGGGAGTACGACAGAGGAGAGAGTGCATGGCAAGTGGATAGAGAGACAGAAGGTTCGATATTATGAGATAGGAGTACGTACAAGTACGTCCTTTTATCGTACTTTTTATCGTACGTACTTTTACGGGAACTAACATATAGCGAGTTAGACAGACAGAAGGCATGAATTCACTAGCATGGTGAGTAATTTGAGTCCCAGCCTTCGGGTCTTTGGCGATATCTCTGTCTGAAGCAGTATCGACAGGGTATCACTGAGGTGTCTCGTGTCGGCGCGGCTGGTCCCCAAATTGTAGTGTTCCAGTCATGTTCGTTCCCTGAGTTATTGACGTACTTGCAGGACCTGGCAGTCATCATCGACCGTCTGAACAACGTTGGGGACTCCAAGCCCTTCATCTTCCACGAGGTCATTGACCGCAACGACGGCGCCGTCACCGTCCAGCAGTACTACGACATTGGTCAGTAATTCAGACAGCACCTGGAAAATCAGCAGAGGGTGCATGCAATACGATCATGCGATGAAAAATTATGTTTTAATATAACAGAATGCGTTTTTAGCGATATATTCAATCACTCTTTCTCGGTTTATCAGACAATCCTCTCCCGTTTGCCGTCAGGTCGTCCCACGGAGTTCCGCTATCCGATGAAAATCGCCTGGGGCATCAAGGACTTCAACCAGCTGAGTAACGTAGTCGACTACGGCTGGGGCATGGCCGAGTCCGACAAGGCCTTCGTCTTCGTCGACAACCACGACACCCAGCGAGGTAAGTGTGCTGCGCCGCTTTATATTGATATAAGCCGAGCGACGGGAATGGTTTGTATTGGACGCTAGTTGAAAGCATGGCCACTTTCCGCTCATCGAATGCTGTGGAGTGCGGATTATGGAATGGCGTACGGAACAGGCTTGAGGTAAAAAAGAAAAGAAAAACTAAGCTGTTTGTCCTCGGCCTAGCTAAAGTAACTTAGATCAGTGTGCCCTAGTAACCGTGTCGCTTTGCAGTATGCACTATGCACTGCGCAAAATATAGCCCCATCATCCGTAGCCGCTACGCAGTATGCACTATGCAAAATTTGGCCGATCGTCCATCACCATCTTCCTCCCTTCTCCGCCGTTTCAGGACACGCCGGCAACGCCGATGTGATCACGCACCAGACTCCCAAGGAGTACAAACAGGGCGTGGCCTTTATGCTGGCCTACCCGTACGGCTTCACGCGCGTTATGTCCAGCTACTACTTCGGCGACGATACGGACCAGGGTCCGCCTCACAACGACGACTGGAGGTAGGAGGGGTGCCACTGTCTGAATAGGCCAACTCACTGCGATATTTTTAACACGGAAAATTAAGAAAATCAATGAAAACAAGACAAACAGATTTAAAATAGCTAGCAATTAATGATGGCAAGTTTTGCTTGTTTGAGATGAATTATACCTGTGCAATTATTTTTGTGTTATATTATTTTCTTTCTGAATTAAATTGCTTAAAAAAAAACAGGCGACGTTTCCAAGTGACATCATATATCCGGCGGAACGACTACCGCAGCTGGTGCTCCCTGAAAAAGCATTCATCATTGCCGAGCGCGGTTCTGCATCAACTTCCGAACCACCCCATACTCACCTCCCCCTCCCCCGCAGCACCGCTGACGTCGTCATCAACGATGACGGCTCGTGTGGCGGCGGCTGGGTGTGCGAGCACCGGTGGCCGGCCATCAGTAACATGGTGACCTTCCGGAACGCCGTCACCGGCACGGAGATGGCCAACTACTGGAACAACGGACAGGCGGTGGCCTTCTCCCGTGATCAGGTCGGCTTCTTCGCCATGGCCAAGGGCTCGTCGATGCACGAACACCTACAGACAGGTCTGCCGGCGGGATCCTACTGTAACCTGATCGACGACTGTGCTACCACGGTGCAAGTGAATGGAGACGGAACGGCCGATATCAACATTGATAACGACGAGGAGCCGATTCTGGCGATTTGTGTTGGCTGTGGACAGAACTGAGCGGGGGAGTGACGGGCTGGTTGGAACTGGTAGGTCGGCCCGGAGACTCGGCTGGCTTAGGATGTGGCAATAAATGTCTGTGATTGAAATGGATTGGAATTTGTTAAACATGACGATGAAACGCGACCGGGATGGTGGGGATAAGCGGAGTGATTCGCACACCAGTAAACCGGCAGCTGAGAGGCCGGTTACGGATGTCTCTGAAGAAGGATGACATAATATTTTCACGCCTGCGTATCAGCACTACCGCAGCTGCTATGATTGCTGAAGTAAACGAGCCGTTTGTGATATTGAGACATCGTCGTGTAATAACAAAAGCTTTCAGTTCTGAAGTTAAAATCGTTTTCAGGAGGAAACTACATGATTTATTTGTGCTTCGCTAGATTGCGAGGAAAGGTAGTCTTTTAACTGATTTTGGCTCGATGAACTTATAACTTGCTTTATTACGGAGCGAGCGAAGCGAGCGTAGTCTTTCCTTAGATTAACGGAAATTTCTGAGTATGAGCGGCCGGCCGGCCGGCCGTGCGGACGCTTTTGCGAGGCTTATATCTCAGCAACCACTTGACCGATTTACACGGGGTAATTTTTGTAGGGTAGCTTCATTCCTTCTACCAAGTATTGGACTATTCCCGATGCATGTGGGTGACCCCTTATGCACGTGCCACGCGCAAAACGAAGAGGTGTCAGTTTTGTAATTGTTGCAATATCTCGGTAACTACTTGGCCGATTGCACTGAAAGTTGGCATGTAGGTAGGCACCCACTAGGCACTGCATATCCATGTGCCAGAGTTGGGGTGCTGCTGCACGTGCGCACGTGCAGGGGTCGTTTCCAGATCTCGAGAACGGCTGGACCGATGACGCTCAAATTTGGTACACGGTTAGCGACCAGTTAGTAGGGTGCCGTGCACAAGTCAGTTGGGACCCATTCTGCACGTGCGCACGTGCAGGGTGCCGCTTCCAGATCTCGAGAACGGCTGGGCCGATTGTGCTTAAATTTGGCACATCGCTAGAGACCGGTTAGTAGGGTGCCGTGCACAAGTCAGTTGGAGGTACCCCCTCGAAATTTCGCGCGTGCAAGGTCCACCCTCTCGCTCGCTCCGTTAGTCGCCCCAAAAGGCGCTATACTGGTGGTTTACTGATAATATTTTTCTTCGAAAAGACGGGAAATATCGTCTCTTCGATTTTATTAGTGTTTCTTTTGATGGAGTCAAAAGTAATATAAAGCTTAATGCTAGGCATGACACGACATTCATGTATGTATTAAATTCAGACCGGTATTAAATTCAACCGGTCTGAATTTAATACATGAATGTCAATTTTTTTGTTCACTTAGCTCACTTAGTATTCCATAAGGCATGCGATAATTTACGTTTAAAGCTCACCATTGCTGACCAAGGAGGGCTTCATGCACACATATTTCGATTTCTATTGCGCTATCGCCATTCTTCAACGAATGTTTTCCCTCCACCTCGAGTGTGACATCAGCTTCGGACGGGCACATTAATTCCAGTCTCGCCGTCAGAAATACTCGGGTTTTTGTGAACTACCAGTCGAGGCCAAATGTTAAAGAGGGGACGATCAAATGGCGAGTCACTCCCGCCAAGGTCAGAGACACCAATTCACCTGTTCTTTGTAAAAAAAAAAGGCGGAACCCAAGGCAGAGCTATGAGCTTGTCGCTTAGTAGGAAAAAAACGTAACACGCTAACAGCTGCGATTAACATCCATGCTTAAAGCAACATAGTGGAGACAGTATACTATTTTTATCATTAAAATTATATAAAAAATAAAAAATACGCAGCCTTGCGTGCTATGCACACAACATGCTTCATTTCGACTTTAGCGAAGCTAGAGATATTGATCTGGTGTGTATAACAGCTCAAATTGAACCGACTATCCATCGCGATCTTCACCTACAGTCTTCTCGCAACTAAACGGTTCAAGTAACTAATGGTTGATTGGGTAAAAGGCAATTATACCAATGCTGCTACACTACGCCAATAGTGTCGATTTCCGATTCAATATTGCCGATACATAGTGCCGATTTCCGAGAAGCATGCTTTAAAAAATGCATAAGTTAAAATGAACGGTAATGGAAGGTATTCAAAGTTACTAGAGAAACGAACAGTTTTTGTGCTAAAATGAAACCAGGGTTATAGTTAAAACAGCACACTGCGTGTAATAAAACAACCCATTTAGACGTTATGGCCACCACGGAACCCGTTTACGGCACCTCTGGCTATTTCACGGCCGACCCCCGTCCAAACCAGCCGGGCCCGGGCCGTACCGTCTCCAGCGGCCTCAGCTTCCCACTCCTGCCGCCGCGCGGCGCCACGATCGGCAGCGCTCGGGGGCGGTCGGCGCGGTCGCCGCCGCCGGCCGGCCGGCAGTCCTTCCAGCGCCGCTCCGGTACCTCCTCGAGCGTCCAGCATGTCCGAGGCGAGCTCCGCACCGTCGCCGCCGCGGCTCTGCCACCTGGTCAAGTGGCCCACGTTCGACGGGTATGGGTTCAGCCTGCACACGGAGAAGGCCCGGCCCGGTCAACACATCGGCAAGGTGGACGCCGGTTCTCCAGCGGAGGCGTGCGGCCTGCGCGACCGAGACCGGATCGTGGAGGTGAACGGAGCGCCCATCTCCGGCTGGGGCCACACGGCCGTGGTGGCCGCCATCAAGAAGAACCCGGAGAGAGTCAGTCTGCTGGTGGTGGACGAGATCGGGTGGGAGTACTTCACCGGCAAAGGGGTGACCGTCAGCGCCGGCATGGAGGGCGTGGTGGAGAGCTCGGCCGAGGGCCGTGAGCCCGGCAAACAGGTGAGCTGGGGCTGAGAGTCGGAACGGTAGCGGCTTTTGAGGGGAGTCATAACGATCGGGGTGTCTCATCAGATACGACTGTTACACGTTTGGGTATGCTGAAAGACCTTGCATTCACTGCAATCGCACCGGTGCGACGCGCACGAGCTCTTCATATCTGATTGAATTGGCAGGATCGGTCTGCCACCGAGCCAACGACCGCTTTCCCTGCTGCAACCGTACTGGTTGTCTCCAGCCGGACTGGCAAGCTGGTGAAATACGTGTATTTTCGGCGTAGCACTAATTAATGCTTTAAATATGCGAGGGAGGCCGGCTTGGCATTGGTAAATGCGTGAGAACGAATGGACTGATATCTAGCAACACGAATAGCGTTACTTTGCGATGCAGCATGGCGGTATATATTGTCCCTGCTTCATGCGAGCGAAGCGTTAGCGAATGATACGCGTCGTCGCTGGACAAATCGGGCAATACATCATTGCAAATCCTCAGCCAACGACCGATTCCTGTCGCCTCCCTGCCGAGACACGTGCGGCTTTGAAAGTGGAAAGGTACTGCAGTGCCAAGGCTACACCATGTCAATGTGACGACCTCACATCGGCATAAAGATGTAGGCCAGGGAAGCTCCACTCCATTGTCCTTATGAAATAGTGAAAAGTGAAACACCTCAAACTTTCCTCATACAGATTTTAATCGATACCGACATATAGGGAGGCGCTGTATGCCCTGTAACATGCCTGCAACATTCTTGCAGTAAGAAAATACGGCGTCGTTTACTGGCTGAACACACCGTTACCAGTAACCAGAAGGAGCTACCCCTCGCCAAGGGGGCTTACCGACCGTTTCCTCACCATCACGCTAGTGCAGGATCACGATAGCAAAAACCTGTCTAAGCCGGTACCGCTTCACCGATACCCCGACCGTGACGGTTTTGACCGGTGACCTTAGCCTTCACCCCCGGCATCTTGCGGGTCAGGCCGATCGCTGGAATGACTCAGCGTGACCTCTCAGACGCCAAGAGGGCAATAAAGGGTTAAACGCATTCCCCACCCACACTCTGGGTGGCTTCGTGACTGTCGGCGTCCAGAGGCAAGTGTCGTGGCATGCTTCTACCTCGTGACTCAGATGTCTAGGCGTGCTCACGGTTACATCACGACTCAGTCACGAGTCATGATCGCTAAATCGGTCGACGGTAGTCACACCCACGATCTTGAATGACATTGGGAAGCGGGGCAAGTTGACAGCGCTAGCATCCGGTCAGGGCTAGGCTCAAATACCAGAGCATGTTCTTTCGGTCGAAGGGTGGATCCAGCAGCCAGGAAATAGGCGAGGCTTGCAGCCGAGTGCGAGGGAACGACCAAGCTCAATCGTCAAGCAGCTTCTCGATGCTGACCGAGCTCTTATCCAATCCAAATTAATTTTCTTTAGTCATAGAAGAGGCAGCCTGGAGCAATATCAGATTGAGGGTCTTTTATATGATATATCCCGCGCCGGGCCGGTGCTCTGAGATTCCGCGCCGGGCCGGGGGAGGGGTGTCTGAACACCCCCCCCCTTCTAACTCGGCTCCTGGGCCACGTAGCGACACGCAGTAAGCGGCAATCGAAAGATTAAGAATGTCCAAAATAAAGACGAAACCACTTCGGTCTTTTTTTTTGGTCAGGTCAAAGGTCGGGTCAGCAGAGGTCACCAAAGGTAAAATGTTGACTACTTCAACATTTTGGAAACTGCCAATGGCTATCTCGGGAACCAATAGAGCTACAGCGCCGAGAAAAAGCGCATTCGATAGCTCTTTTACAGACCTTTCTGATTAATGCTATCAGATTTGATCTCAGATCAACGGTTTAGCCTCCAGAGGGCAAAAACTCCAAAAATAGCCGTTTTTACGAGAAGCGTTTTTTCGGCAATAACTTTTGACTCAACAGAGCCATGACATTAGTTTTGCAAGCATCGTGTTCCTCTCGTCGAGACGCGTCGAATGAACTGTAATTTGATCTTGAAAGATCAACTTGAAAATTTGACCTCAGGTCAAGGTCATGACCTGACTGGAAAAGGTCATGCTGCATATCAGTCGATCCGCAACGTCGAGCCAAACACATTTAAGGCGTTTTCAGCGCTCTAGCACGCCTCTATCAGAAGTTATTAGCGAAAAACTGTTAGATTTTGTTCGTGTGACCTGAGATGACCTCGGGGACATAACCAGGGGTCACAGTTGCCATTTTCCGATTCAGTGTGTCAATTTTACCTACATGTCGATGTTTGGAGCGTCTAGAATAGCGTTTGTGCAAAACAGACGCTTTTCAATTTTCTCCCATTGACTGACTTATAATGGAGAGGCCGCAAAGTTGACCTGACCTTAGGTCACCGATATCAAAATTCCGAGATTAAAGTTTTATAGATAATGTTTCTCTAATCAATCGATGAAAGTTTCAAGGCAATCGATCAATCGGTGTAGCTGTGACGAGCATTCTTATTTTGTCTGAGGTGAGGTCACTTGGCGTGACCTGATGAGCTGACCTAAGGCGACCTGGGTCTGAAATTTGCACAACACGTGCAGAAAAGAGACCCGAACAGGTGTGCCAAAAACGACGGCGCGGAGCGCCGCCGTTTTTAAGATATCTGCGAAAAACCGCAGGGGGGGGGGTGTTCAAACACCCCCCGGCCCGGCGCAAGATATGTTTCGCTCGCTGCGCTCGGGTCGCTGAGCACTACGTCAAGCTACAACTTCTAATACTGGCATATACACTGTAAACCAAATTGACAAGTCTTGTGTAATATAACCAATCATCTCTTGGTATGTTTACCAATTGATACTTTTTAAACAAGCCGTTGTCTGGTGCATTGCTTGTCAGGTGACAACTACGAGTCAATAGCTACTATGCACACCAACTTCTCAGTATCCAGACCAACTCTACATTTGTTTCAACGTTTGTTTCTTAACCAGTTTTGGAAACTTGTTGCCGCATGGTTATTTAACCGGCGCCTAACTTGCACTGGTCAGCTGGTCAGCATACACATGGTCAGCTGCGCCTATGACGTCAGACTTGGCGGACCAATCAGCGGTCGCCGCGCGCCGTTAGCGGGCCCCGGCGCGGCGTTTTCGAACCAGCAGTTGTCGCGCGGCCGCCGTGCAGCCTGGAGCAGCGACGAGGGCTGTTCCAGCATTTGTGCAGTAAAAAGTGAAATCTGTGAACTGTGGTGTTCGTGCTGTGAGTGAGGCCCCCTCTGGCCTGCGGGACGCACTAAGCGTGCCTATACCCGCGTTCGAGACGCCTCCCTTCCCCTGCGCGCGCAATGTAAGTGGGCCAGACCTGCAGGTCTGCATGTGCATGCACATGTGAGCAGATGTTTTGCGGTCGGTGTTTTTATATATAAATACATTTATTTGCCTTTAATTCAACTCTTTGTATTTTTAACTTAACTGATGGACATATACGGGCTGTAAAAGCTAATCTGGTTGGCGATCATGATTTATTCGAATTATCTGCGTGATGGTGCAACTGCCATGATTGTTATGGTCAATGTTCAGGAAATATTCGTCATACGGGCATGTTATACTTCTGGCTTGATGCGGTGCACAGAACCATGTTCTTCCACATACGCAGCAGTTCTTGCTTCAAAGACTTATATGCTGACGATGCATGATAGGTATACCTACTGGGTATACCTACCTCATGCATTTACCACATCCATTCGAAAATATGCACTCGGAATTGTCTCCAGTCAATAGTATTAATTACGTGACCGTAATAAATACTAATGATTCCAGAAACTTCCGAATGGATGTGTGGTATGCATTCATTGATTATATAACCCATCAGTATTTCGTTTCTTGTCAGCGCAAGCCTTTGAGCAATAACTGATGCTAGTCATGGTTTTGTGCACCACTTCCAGCCAAAAAATAACCTGTCCGTATAGAAAATATTTCCCGAATCAGTATCGTGGCAATTGAAAACGAACGCGAATCGTAAGTTCTTAAGGTTATCAACGCAAACAAAGCGATTGTTGACAAGTTCGAACAGAGCGTTAGTACACTTACTTGTTGACAATTTGTAAGCTAGCAATGCCCAGTCAAAGGCTAGTTCATCAACAAACCAAGGGTTGGTGAACCGACAAGGAAACGAATATGCCTATCCAGAAGTTGGTAGCTCCACAAGGCCCAGACTAGTACTCAACAAGGTGACGCCTATGCGAATTGGAACCAAACTTGTAGACAAACTGTTAGTTTGTTGGCCAACAAGTCTGGGGTTGGTGAATCGACAAGGTATCGACAAGGTGACGCCTATGCGAATTGGAACCAAACTTGTAGACAAACTGTTAGTTTGTTGGCCAAGAAGCCTGGGGTTGGTGAATCGACAAGGTATCGACAAGGTGACGCCTATGCGAATTGGAACCAAACTTGTAACAAGGAGCCAACTTGTAGATTTGGTTTACAGTGTAGTGCCGTTCGAAGTTTGTATCATGATATGGAGGGTGCACCCTTCAACATCGCTTTATCGTAACTTTCTTAAAAAGCAGGCGCTGGGACGGAACGTTAACAAATACGCTGTTCTTTAATTTGCAACACTGTTTCTTTCTTAGTTTTCACGACTCAACCAATGAGAATATAATCTAATTCCCAATTCCTAATGCTATCAATTCATTTTCCCTAGTGGAGTTCGACCATCCGAATAAGTTTGCTATTCGCTCCTTGTCCGTTTCTCGTCCCTCGGCCGCGTTTTTCGTCGCCCTTTGCAGTGAGGTCTCGCCAGGCCGGAACTCCCTCCTATTGTTCTCCTTGAGTTTGGCACGGATCGTGCAGACGCCAGTCCGGCCCGGTCGGCTTGTCGCTCCATTAACCATGAGCGCGAGCGGGCGCGTGCCTCGGCCTGCCCCGGCCGATTACCAACCACGTGCCCGGCGATAGACGCCTCCGGACAACGGGTGAACTTCTCCAGGAAATGGGTGACAAGTAGGTAAACGACAGGAGAAGACGTCTATGCAGAATTCAATAAGGAACACAAGAA